TGACTTCATCACCAGAGAACATGACGCTTTGTACCACTGTCTAAATGTCACACGGATGTTGCATCTTAACAGCGAAAAAAAAAAAGGGCTATATGTGTTGTGCCCACCGCGAGTATCGAAATCCGCTTTTTAGCGTTATAAGCCCTCAGACTTATCGCTGAGCCAATGAGGACATAAGTAAGGACGCTGCACAGTTCGATTATTTTCGTTTGACATCACGAATTATAACGATAAAAGTCGGGGTTCGATATTCGTTGTAATTAGAGCACCGATAACCCATTGTGTAGTTTTGCGCTTAACGAACAAAAAAAAACATTACATAATCCAACCCTGGTTTTCTTTCACCTTCAGAGTTATTCAAATTACATGTTTTTAGTATCCTCCTCTTACCATATAATCCTATTTATAAGACTGAACTTTAATTGCGCTGTTGTTGTCAGACTGTATATAACTGTTCATAAAAAAATGTTTATTTTTAGAGCTTAGAGTCAGCAAGTCGAAATGTAGGTTGACGTCTGACCTATCACTTAACCGTTAAAATTGAGAACAATAGACATTTAAATTTAAGCATTTAATAAATAGGTAACGCAAAGTATTTTTTTAATAAAAAGGACAACAGCTTTAACACATCGTTAACACTATAACAAAAACAGATCCTGGTAAAAAAAAAGTCTAATCTTTTTCCTACATCAGCTTTCTAGTCCCCCCCCCTTTTTTTATAGTTAAAAGCTACACAATGGTCGATTTACACTCTGTTCACCATGGGTAATCAAATCTAGTACATTAGCATTGTAAATCTGCAAATTTATCACTGAGGGACTTCGTTAAAAAGTCTAATTATGTCAATAACCGATGTAATTAGGTCTGATTAACGTATATTTCTATTTATGTGCACCAGCGGTATATCTTGGGGCTTATAACGCTACAAATCACAGATAGCTGATTATGTAGCTTAATAACAAACGATACATGTTTCGGTTAACTATTATGTTAAGCGATAAAAACACTGTGTGTATTAAAAAATAGAAATAAAGGTAAGAAGTCCTAGAACAGAACTGTAATGTCATAAAATAAATGTTAATTTTTTAATCATAAAAATATTTTGGAAGACTTATTTAGTCACTCTTCCCCAGGTTTCTATCAGAATAACAATAAAAACCAATTAAGTAAGCAATAATTTAATAAAAATTAGCGGTAAGCACTTCGGAAAATTTTGTATTAACGCATTTTCTATAATAATTTACTGATGATGACCAAGCCTTGAAGGTCTCTAAGTTTTTCTAATCACTTCAATTATGATCCTTGAAAGAATCGCAGGTCTTTGATCCTGACCTACTTTTGACATTTGCGACGTAAACAGGCAAAATATAACAAATGAAATAAATTAATTGATCATTCTTGATAACCTCAATCCAGAGGTATTCAAAACAGAGTTTAAATATTTTTTATGTTCTCAGACATAAAACTAAAGCTTTCTGTTTGAAGAGTTTGGGTAGCGAGATGTAGAATCTTGAAGTACTTCTACCACGGCGTAGAAAGTCTGTGTGGTGGGAGAGATTCGCAAGCACTCTGGTTAGTACGTTGCTCATCGAGAACAGATACTGCATGTCCGCCGCAGGTTTTGCTTGTGTACCTTACGGCACTTTGTACCTGACATACCGAGTACCGCTACTGATTTCATTTAATAAGATAGCCCCCACCCCACCCCTCTTTGGATAGAACTGGTCTGTGACTTGTAGACGATCCAAGAAATCACTTTTTTTTGTATGTTTAGCGTTACCTTTTATCATTTCAAACCTGAAAGTTAATCATCTTCTGTACCCATAATGATATTCACCCGTTTTCGTAATGGAACTCGAGTTGGGTCATCATTTCAAATATTCTTTCTACAGTTAACTAATTTTTGATGGATCTGACACTTCACACTTTTGAACTGTGTTACTTGGAGTGATTAACTTCAATACGTAGTCACATATCCTCCAGACCTAGAAGCTAAATTAATCATAACCATCGAGCCGTCACCCGGACTAACAGTGACGTCATTCCTATAAGAACTTAAAAAAAAAAGGTTTTGAATGCGATACGCTCGAAGGAATCAGTTAAAACAAATTATGTATTGCTCCAGATATCAATGATAATTATTAATGCAAATAAAGAAAGCTACAAAACAAAACTGCATCTCGTACACGCTGTCCAGTTCTAGTCCAGTAATTAGTTTTATTGAGATACATTTTTCATATATAAAGTCTTTAATGATTACACATACCTTTAGAAAAGTGTCAGTGTGAGTAATTTTAACTTTTATTTATCATTTACATTCTGTCTGTCTAAAACTTTCAAGTGGTTTCCATGCCAAAATGACTATTGGATCAATGTTTGGGACAACTCAAAAGGGGGTCAGTTACTCTTAAATATTTGTTTTATGTAAAAAAATATATTAATTGAGTTTTATAAAGAAACTGGTGAAGATGATAGGCACCATTTTCCTAAATATAAAATGTTTATTAATCACACAAATCTTCAAGTTCTAAGTAGCTGTACTTTAACATAAGAAACCACACGTTTACTTACAGGAAGCGATCTTATTTAGCGCCTAAACTCTCACCAAGGCCACAGTTTTTAACATTCAGATCATCCAATCAAGCAGAAGCAGAATAAATATATTTAAAAAAAAAGAAACTTTTGTTGTTATGGAAACCCTATTCTGCAAGCTTGACCTAGGAACCATCAAAATGACCCTACAGACAAGTAGAAAGCTAGTCAACAGCATCCACGACCCCAAAGTACGAAGCGTGATTTTGTGGCAAAAGGTCCAACCAAGAATCCTTGGGTTCGTAGTGTGGCATGTTAAGCACTAGGCTACGCCAATTCCACAAGAGGTGTAAAGGTACAGGAAAGGTTGTTTGTTTGTAGTTAAGTACAATGGGCTATCTGTGCTCTGCCCACCACGGGTATCGAAACCCAGATTCTAGCGTTGTAAGTCCGCAGACATATCGCTGTGCCACTGGGGGCAGCCAGTCTGGGACACCCACTATCCATATTAAGGGATTGACTATCACTTTTATAACGCACCCACAGCTTAAAATTCGGGGAATATTTTGTGGTACTGCATAGATTTGAACACGGCTTGTTAGCTCCGTTTGTTTCAAGTTAAGCACAAAGCCACACAATGGGCTATCTGCGCTCTGCCCACCACGGGTATCGAAATCCGGATTCTAGCGTTGTAAGTCCGCAGACATATCGCTGTGCCACTTGGGGGCGAAGGAAAGGTTGAAAATTTTTGATTCGCAACAAATTCATGATATGTCAGACAATATCATTGTTGATTTATCACAAACGTTTTGTGTACAGAAGAGACTGGTCGTTTTTAAGGAAATTGGTCTTGACTAAAAAAAATGACTGTCAAGCATTAAAGTCTGAGAGTCGTATTTTCATAGTGTTTATTCGTCACTTACTGAATGTGCGTTTTATTTACGAAACAACTTTCATCAATGGCTGGATCACCATCCTTGTTATTTGTCCTTTTTAATATTTTCTGTTTATGCGATTACATTTCTAATTATACCCACAACAAGGTTCAATTATACCTTCTTTCACCTGTTAGCTGCGTCACCTTCGCCACGCGCTCCTACCCAGGTATAAATAACTCTTGTTACTCTAGTTCTTATTTCCAACAGCTTGTTCAATATTTTGTCTCCATCTCACCCGTGCTTTTCCTATGTCTTCTTCCGATTGGTATCCACTCCATTTATTTATTTGGGTACCTATCTTTATCCCTCCGCTTTACATACCAATTTTATATTGCTAATACATTATACGTTTACCTTATCGATTACACAAATATTGAAAATGGCTTGTAATTAATAACGTGTGTATGTTACGTATCACAACGTTGGAATAGTGACAAGTTAGTAATTAATGTTACGTTAGGTAAAGTGCTAATAATAATAATATTACTGAATGTCCTAGTCTTTAGTATTCAAGGAAGATAGAATGAACCAAATATTGTATTTGTGAACAATTTTCGCCTACTCTGTTATCTATAATTTGAACTTCTTACTCAGATACAAAATCCTGAGTAAATAACCGACAAACACATTTACCGGCATTACTCGTCTTCTACGTGAAGCCCAACATACATAGGCGATTCGGTAACAGTTTCAGACATTTTTAACATACACATACAAAAATTTCTTGATACTTTTGCCAGCCACCTTGCGATTTTGTTATTACAGCCCCTATATAAGTAAAAAAAAGTCATGGATCTATAGGAAAATGCGTATAACTGGTTTAGAAAATGTGTTTAAAACGACACGTGTCCATCGGTAATTTCAGGGTTAGTGTCCTATAACTTAGACGTGTTTAAAATTTTCCCTCGTGTTTTCTTCACTCTCAGAGTCTAATGGTGGAATACGTGCAGAAGGTGATATAATAACAAGCGACTTTAATACTCAGATCTTTAATAGTTATCAACATAATTTACAATGACAAGTCAAATAATTTAGGAATTAACATAAATTAGAATAGAGAACAATTATCTGACCAAATCTAAGCTTTCCACTCATAACAAATTACAAAAAAAGATTACGTATTAAGAGATTGCTAAAGTAACTCTGGACAATATCAAAACTCTTGTAAAAGGTGTTAGAATTTAAACAACTCTCTGCGTGATTTTTTTTCTTCTTCATATAGAGATGTTACGACATATTAAACTACTTATAAATTACTCAGTCTAAAAATGTGCAGTCCTTTAACTAATGGAAAATAAACGTTTGTGTGAATGATACTGACCCCCTCCCCTCAGTCACATAAGATAACTTAAAAACCTTTTTTTGCGGTACATTACAAGTCAATTTATCTTTTAGTTTTAACACGTTCACAACCAAAGAGCACGATTTAAACACGTGGGCTGTATGTCGTGTAAACCTTATGCTTTCACAATTTTAACAACAATAAACCAACCAGATTTTTAACACATCAGCATGATATTATTAAAGGCAATATTATATCAATTATTGCAAATTTATTTGTCCACTCCTCTCTGGACGAAGCATAATCTTTTGATTTGTCAACAGCTTTGGAATAAGCTTAAAAGCTTGGCGGAATACATCTATCATGGAGTTAACCAAGAGGTATGTTTTTACCAAATGCTCACCGTATTTCAAAAGCGTGATACTGTTGGTGGAGGACCATAACGGGTTTGAAGCCTAAAGAAGCATGACTATAATGTACATTCAATATTAGTTTCTTTTCAGGTTTGTCGTAAGGCCAACACACAGATAGGTATAGATTATAACACAGTTAGCCCCCCCTCCCCCATCCAATTAATCAGACAACCTCCTGTTTTCTGAGTGGCCGCTGAATTTTCCAGTCTCTGAAAAATAGCCGAATAAACAACAACAAAAAACGCGGTAACCACGTGTCAGTAAAATAGAACTGTTTGTGTAAAGAACTGAAGCTATTAATACAACAGCGAAGCCACTATAAACTCGATTTTTCCCTTGTTTGTTCAACGTTTCGGTCAAGTTCAAGTTGTACACCTTTGAAATTAATTCAAGTGTAAACAAGACTTGAGAACCAAAATAACGATTCACATCTCCAGTTTGTAGCTCCATTTTTTATATAACGAGTGCAATAATTCAGTAAGCATATAAAACTCTAAAACACTTGTATTTACAATAATACGTTTCTAACACTAGTTACTCTCTCCTTTTATAACTATAATGACGTATTTTGAAGGTACCAAAGTTATGAAACATCACCATAAGACTAGAAATAAATAAATAGGACATAATTAACAGGCTTTCTTTCACTAAGTAATCAATAAATTATGGAAACCTTTTGGTTTACATTAGCACAACGGAAGGTTTTTAAAATGTAACTTTATAGTCAAATGAGTATTAACTTATCATTGTAAAGGTGATAAATGACTTACAGGTCTACAAAAATTAATTTTTAGTATTAAAAACAAACAAAGCTGTAAAATAACTATAGGACATTGGAAAATGTCTGACGAAATTTCGAGTATGTCCTACCAAGTTCAACCAAATTATCTGTCTTATCGGGAAAATTGTAAAATATATTTTTAAGTATACGAAGAAAAGTAAGTATAAAGAAACTATAAAAAAAATTCACAGATTTATGGTTTCTTCCTTACTCTTCTAAACAAATTTTCTATTTTGGATGATTAGCTCATTAAAAAATATAAACCTTAGAAGCTATAATCTGGAATGTACAGAAAATTCAAATCGATAACTGTGCTGTTCAGAAGGAGAAACTCGTCGGAGCTGCGCAGAAATGAAAGTTTTTGTGAATTACACTACATGACGTTACAAAATGATCAAATATATATATTTGGGTTAAAACTGTTACAAATATATTATATAGTGAGAATGATTATTTTTACTTAAGTTTCACATGCGATACTAATAGGGTTAGCGACGTAGTGCCATACTTTATCTTTTAAATTCAAAATTTTTTTGTAACATTTTATTTTGTGTTCGATAAAATTCTAATTATGTCCGATCCAAGTGGTAACTTGCAAAATTTATGACCTGACAAAAAAGGAGAAAAAACAAACAAACTGTAGCCTTGTTTTAGGGTGTTGGTCTATATAACAGTTTCAATCAATACTAGTGTCATGAAACATGTATAAATTAAATGTCCCTTTCACCTTACAGTTACACAGTCTTATTTATCTCTGCTTTCTGCACTGTATATGCCGTCATAAAAAATCTTATTACATAGTGAAAAAATACCGTTAACTCTGTTATTTATTTACTTAAAATTACCCACTTACAAAAATGACATTGAAGGAATATTAAGACTAGAAATAACTGTAAAAAAAAACAACAAATGACTAAACTTAGAATTTAGAACAGATTAACTTTCATTGAAGTACGTTTGAATCATTTTCACGGAAGTGAAAGTCGAAACGTTCATGAAAAAAATTAATGCTGTTGTAAAATCTGAAGGTAGCCGTGCGTTTAGTTAAAATATCACCAGTATATTTAAATTAACGTTCCATATTTTAACATTAAAGAAATAAAATGGTTCCCTCAACTGTGATGTTTCATCACCTTTGGTAACTACCTAAAAACGGAGTTTGTTGGCCTATTTTGGCTCTGTATACCATACAAATTAGGCTTGTTACTTTGCATTAGACTTAAAAGCCAAATTAAAGTATTGCGAAGTAAATACTCGAAACAATAACTGTAGTTTAAGACTCTAAACACTTCTAGGATCAAACTTTCAACGATTCAGATGACAGATTGAAGCTTCGAAGTCAGAGAACATTATAACACTTCAAGTACTTGCCATGAAGTTAAATTTTAACACTAGAATAAGGAATTACAAGCCTATCTTGCTTTTTTCTTGGATTGTTTTAAGAGTCTCCTACGTTTCAAAATCATTTCGTACAAAGCATCTAACCCTTCATCCAGACCTTCTCCAATAATTGCACACGCAGGCTGAACATGCCACAAATGATTGGGCCCGAGATCATTTAACCCCAACAGTCTTTCAATGTCACTAGGGTCTTTGGCTGCAGGTAGGTCTTGCTTATTGGCTAAAACTAAAATAGGTACACCGGAATTTTCTGGACTTCTTGCAGTGCGAAACAGCTCCATCCTTGCTTCTTCTAGTCTTTCAACATCCACACTGTCTAACACAAACACAATTCCATCAGTACACCTCGTGTAAGACCGCCACAAAGGCCGTAATTTATCCTGGCCTCCGACATCCCAAATTAAAAAACTAGTTCCTTTAGCTTTACCCGTTGTTCCTTTTATTTTCTCACAATTGAATCCGATCGTTGGAACAGTATTTAGATACTGGTCAAACTTCAAACGATACAATACCGTAGTTTTACCCGCAGAGTCTAAACCTAGCATCACAACGTGTAAAGACTGATTAGGGGGTAAGTTTTCTAACAAAGACACTCCTTTACCTACAGTTGATCCCATGGCTGGCGTTCAACAAAATATTGAATGTTCTATTGTAAGTATGCACCACGTAACGCTGGTGGGTTTGACTAAATCACATAGCAACTACCGCCAGTAAAACAGTCACACTTTTCCGTATTACTAGTTATAAAATTTGGGCAAAACTTCGAATGGTTTAAGTTTCTTACTTAGTAACTTGCCTATTCTCTTCTTTTTTTCATCGATCTGTCTTCTTTAGTTGGAAGTTGCACGCGCTGACTTGTCACGGGAAAACTACTAGCATTACACAGTTTTTCAAATAATCCAATAAAAAAAAAATTGTCCACGTAAGTACATTTCATCTACAAAACAGTAGAGATGGGCTTAACTAGCTGTAGTTAGGAAATTTTGATAAAAGTTTCTGTCTCTAGACTTACCACAATTATTACCCGTACATAATGTGAATAACACGCACATCGTTATAAAATGAAGGAAAATATTTTTCTAATAACCTGCTCTGAAAGCTTCGTTTTACCTGAATCATAGGTCAGGCTTAATTCCACTTCTTACCGTGTATTATCACCAGAACGGCCGTGAACCTCGAGCCAACACCGTTTTATTCCTTTATCAAGTTTACAAGTCACTGGTAGACCTCTCTCTCATCTTTACGAGTTAGTATGAAATTTTGGTCATTCAAATTAGAATTCATCTTTGAAAACTGACGAATTACTTTTTAAGTTATACCTACTTTCTCTAACACCTTCCATTCCTGTGCTATACTCAGGCAGGTAGAACCGTACAAGGCCTTCCTCCCCCCTTTTCCTCACACTATAGTTTGACAAACGTTCCTTTCCCGAGGCTATCGCAAACCAGTCGGATCTTTACGATCACGAGCTGCATGCAGTGTGTGACGTCATTAAGAAGGGGCCCCTGATGCTTATCACAAATATATATACCACAGTCGCTGGGCGACAGTCATTGATTAAAACTATGAAAAAAAAAAAAAAGTTAAGTGAAAGCAACACATTTTTTACTTGTTATTAAATTATTTGAAAACTATGGCAACATGACGTACACACGTTATAATACCTGTTCTTCCGGTTATGAAAAACAATTAGTATAGATATTAAGTTAATGGTAAAAAAATCCAACAAATCTTGTGTTTGTGGGCTCTGACTGAATAACCCATGTCATACATGCATAGATTTTTATACCGCGAATTATGAAACGTTATTAACGCTCGTGACAAAAATAATTCTGATAAAATCGTGAAAAAGTCTCGCATTTTTTCTGTACGTGCTTGACCTTGGTTCGAGAATGTAAGTATATTAGCTTGTGGACAAATTTGAACATTTTCATCGGATTAAATTATGAAATAAAAATGTTAACGTTACTCGGCCATCGATTTGTTTGTAGTTAAGCACATAGCTACACGATGGGCTATCCGTGTTCTGCCCACCACGGGTATCGAAACCCGGATTCTAGCGTTGTAAGTCCGCAGACATGCCGCTGTGCCACTGGGGAAGGGGAGCTCTCATCCATCGAATATTTAATCCTTAAATTTATTTACTGAGTAAAAACAACGACATTGGAATTTGAACTTGACCTTGCGACAGTTTAGAGAATCCATGCTCAGACATAATGATACCTTATTTACAATTCCTGAACAGTAGAAGGGCAAACAAATCAACAGCATTTGCCGCCTTTTTCATCGGCCACTTTTAACCGGATGGTGGGCTTTGAGTGTTATAATGCTCCTATCTCGGAAAATGCTGATCGTATTAAGCAAAATATCACGATTCGAACCTTGAACTTTCCAATTTAAATCCCGACAAACCAATCGTTAGGCCACATGTTATCAAACTCTTGAGTAGAAGGTGACGTTACTTTGATTGATTACCTGCGCTCAACGGTTTTTAAATAACAAAAAAGTAATAACGACGAAACAGTTTCTTTGTTCGCGTTTGAGTAAAAGTTCGAAGTTTCACAATAGGCTATCTGCGTTTTTCTCACCACGAGTATCGAAACCCTGTTTTTTATTATTATTTTTCTAAGAAAAAAAACAAGCTAACAATAATAATTATTGAATTACAACAACACTTTGATGTCAGTTTGACGTATTGCTACCACGAGATAGTGGAAAAATCGATGGCTATTTATACGTGATAACTGAGATAATATGATTTCTGGTAACACGTCGATATGATTGGAGAGAAGTACAGCACGCCAAGTTGTTTAGGGAGCCAGGAAAACACGCAGTGACAGTTAGATGACGAATATTTCTAAAAATGGTTAGCAGAGGATTTCTGGATCACGGTTTCACAAGAACGTGCTCCTCACTAGGGGACTTGTGCGCACTAAGAAGAGCGACGACCGAATCCCATTATTTTGTTTGTTTGTTTTGG